CACACACACACACACACACACACACACACACACACACACACACACACACACACACAATACTCCGGGGGGCCACAGTTACTGCTGGTCAACAGCTGAGGAGCCGAACTTCCAGCAACTAAAGTTATTACATAAATAAACCAAGTATTACAAAGATCTGATACCTATGAATTAGTTTATTTTGCTGCATTTATTCAGGAATACAACATACAGAACCCTATAAAAGTAGTGATAATTACACATTATCAAAATCAAAAATAACACATTATGCCTCCTATTATCAGACACAAATAGTATTTTGACATCTCTGACTTGCCAAATTTTTAAACCAATTTCATTTTCACTTTCACAATTTTGTCTTCAACTGATTGTAGTTTTAACTGTCTTGTGTGTTTATAGAAATTGTTTTTATCAGCTTCTAGCCAAGATTCTGATGTTTCTGTAGACACCAAACATGTCTATGTTTAACTAAAAGAACTTAGAATAATTAAAGTAGAAAACTGGGGGAGTTTGGGCTTAAGTGATGAATGAACCAATTGGCGGGCTGAACTTTGGTCACTCGCCGGCCGGATGAGGCCTGTGGGCCACCAGTTGAATAGCCCTGGTTTAGTATTTAGAGAATTAAAATATTTTAGAGAATTTAAAAAAAGTAATTTTCCTCTAATTTTGTTATCTAATTATGCCAAACCAAAGACACTCCTTCTAAACAGATATTCAGTGTCCGTATTCATTTACTCCTCTTTGCATCTCCGGTTTTATTTAAGGGCGATTGCTCCGTGCTGAAGAACTCGCTTCTCCTTTCATCCCTGCAAGCCGTTTTTAAAAATACACAACTGAAGATTCACTGACTTTCCTTTCACCCTGTAGTGATAAATTTATACACTTTTAAAAGCACCAAAAACTCTTAGATAGTAACATGGAGTTCATCAAGTTTCCCCAAGCACCAGAGTATCTCCTGGATCCATTTTCTGCTGTCAGTTTTCATGCTCGCTTATTAAAAACTTGCTYATAATAATTATTTTATTTCCCTCTCCTGCTCTGTAACTGTCATACCCCCACAAAGACACRGTACTTGGTAATTTTCACATTATTTTCCTCCTGGTTTCCCCTCATTATCCCTCCGACTCCGTGAATAGCACCTGCCTGCTTCGGTGCTGCRCTGGGACTCCTCAGTGTTCTCGGTGGATGTTTGAAACACTTGTTAGCTGCGCTGCTTCCCACCTGTTCTCTGGCTTAAGGGAGGAAGGATAGGGATGAGGA